CTGCAAACACCCAATTCATCAGTGACCAATTACCGGTGAACTCAGGTGACCTCTGAACCTGACGTCAGACTGAACTTTACTGAAGTGGGGCTTCAGGAGTGGAAGTCCAGCAATTCATCCTCTGACTAAAATGAGTCATTACAAATTAAAATCTACTTTGTTTTTTTTAAACTGCACCACTGAACTAACTTCCCTCTTTAATAGCGTTGAGTCAGTGTGGAGAATGAAAGGATGAATGAATGTTTTTGTTCGTTATTTTCTTGAAAGGAACAAATTCAGTTGAACTTGACTTGCTTCTCGGACTTCGGGTTACGATGACGGGTGAAGAAAAGCAGAAAGCTGCTTCAAAATGCAAAAAGAAATCCTCATTGCACTCGTATAACAGAAGCACAACCAGAATGTGTTTTATACATCCTTCATCCAGTGAGTCAGACGATTTGTACACGAACTGCTGTTGAAGAAACTACTTTGGAGGTGAAATTAAATGTTCACTTAATGTTAATAATGAGTCAGATTTGTGGGTATTAATTAGGTTGTTCGAGTTCAAACAGGGGCTGCAAGGTGGCTCGGTGGTTAGCACTGTTGCCTCACCGTTGCCTCACCACTTCCCGTTGAGGACACTCGGCATCTTTCTGCGTGGAGTCTCCATGTTCTCCCCGTGCAGCGTGGGTTCTCTCCAGGTTCTCCGGCTTCCTCCCACAAGGTCCGAAAACATGCTGAGGACCTTAATCGGTGATTCTAAATTGTCCGTAGGTGTGAATGTGAGTGTGCTTGGTTGTCTGTCTCTAAGTGTAGCCCTGTGATAGACTGGTGACCTGTCCAGGGTGTCCTCTGCCTTCACCCTGAGTCAGCTGGGATAGACTCCAGCCCCCCATGACCCTAGTGAGGATGAAGCGGTGTATAGATAATGGATGGATGGAGTTCAAACAGGGGCTGCAAGGCTCGGTGGTTAGCGCTGTTGCCTCACCGTTGCCTCACCACTTCCCGTTGAGGACACTCGGGATCTTTCTGCGTGCAGCGTGGGTTCTCTCTGGGTTCTCCGGCTTCCTCCCACAGTCCACAAACATGTTGAGGTTAATTGGTGATTCTAAATTGTCCATAGGTGTGAATGTGAGTGTGCTTGGTTGTCTGTCCCATAGTCTCGTTGGTTTGGACTCACCATCTCTGAATCTTCACTGAAACTCTAAATTCTGAAGAAACCCCACTCAGAGATCCAGCTGCCTCTAACTTGACAGAAGCTGAGATGCTAATTAAAGGGCAGCTGGTTTCACTGACTTTAACACATTTCTGTGGTGTTTGCACTGAGAACGATTCCCTCCGTCTGCAAATTGACTGTTTTAATGAAGTGGGAAGTGACGTGATCAATAACACGCTGTTGGTCACAGTGTTTAGCGCCCACATGAGGAAACAGCTGCACCTCTAAAAGACGTACCAGGGTTTAGCAGCTTTATGTATCTCAGGGGTCACAGTGGTGAATGGCTCGTACAGCGCCGCTCAACCTCAGCTAGGTTCGACAAAGTGCTGCCAACTTGAGGTTCAGGGACACTTGGACATGTGGAGGGTCAGGGGTTGAATTGCAAACCTTAAAATGAGGCGACAAGCTGCTCGACTACCTGAACCAAGGCCACACACACACATATATATGTCAAGTTACGTCACTGATGTTTATACGGCACATTTGAAGAACCGCCGCTGTTGCACCAAAGTGCTTCCAGGGGTTATAAAACCAACACCGAACAGCACTCAGTGGGAGCACAGCGCAGATGAACGTGTTTTAGAAGTTGCTGAGTGAAAACATAAAGTCTATTGAGATATGATTGAAGCAGTCAACACGAGAAAGGTTTGGAGGAGAAACGTTTCCGATCTGCTCCTGATAGCGTGTGAAACAGAAAATCCTCTTTAGGAGGAGCAGCGATCGGACTTCGCTCGCTGCTCCTCGTTTTCTGTTTCCTCCCAGTTTGACAGTTTGATCACCTGGAAATTAACATTCTGAGTGTATGGATTAGAGAGAAGAAGCTCTGTGAATAATCTGTTCATGCTGAGGGTTAATCCATAAGGTTCCTATACTGAAGACTGACAGACACACATAATCAGTGCATTATACAAAGAAAAACAACAAAAAACTACCAAAAAAAGTTCAGTTGCAGTAGTTGAGGCTCCAGAAAAATACTTTGAAGAACATAAAACAACAATCCCATAAAAAATATACTTGTTTTCTATCATTAAATGCAGTTTGTTGCCTTAATTTCACATGAAATATGCATATTTTTTGGCGTTTTCGATGTTTAATGAAGGATATTTAGATGTGTAAAAACAATAAAATTACTTTTAAGTATATTTGGAAAGTAGTTGTGAACAAAAGTTTTCTTACACTGTTAAAAACCATGCATATCATTGCAGTCTTAAGTTTCCAATGACTCCTAAGTTTTCTATGATGGATTCATTGAAACGTGTTTGTCACTAAAAACTGCTCTTTTATATATTTATTATAAATTTCTCTGGTAAAATGAGTAAATCTGCTGGATGAACACAATGACTAGATGATAAATCTGAATAAAACACGATAAAATAAAGAAAAACATCAAAGATACGACTCAATGAAAGATGAGGTCATGGCGTAAAGCTCTACTTAGATGGAGTAAGGTCACTAAAGGTCACATGTTGCAAACCTCCACAGCGAATAACCTGTAACGTTATTAATCTCTTTACAACATGTTGGTATCAAAATAATCCTCATAGCGGAACTGCATTATAGAGACACTTGTAGTTATGTTAATCCTGCTGCCACAGTAACTGTCACAGTTTTCAGGAAAAAAAAAAGTATTTTGATGATTCTTGTTGGTCATATCTGTGATTACATGGCAGCATCATGGTGTGAAGCACGGTGGTGGCAGCATCATGATGTGGGGATGATTCTTGATTATATATTGACAGTATACTCATGAAAACCCGTTTTTGAAAATGTTGGCAAATATACAAGATATCTGTCATCAAACAAACAAATATACTTACGGGACTTTAACAGTTTCATTCATTACATTAAAAAGGAAATATCTGTAATTACGTAATTAAATTTTACAGTGAAAAAAAGTTTTTTCTTGAATATATAGACACTTTATGGTCATTAGAAGTTGCAGGTTTTTGTTGTTCTTTTAAACATGTTCATTCATGTTTAATTTAATTTAATTTTTCAAACCTTATTATTATTTTCCTGTATTTAAAAAAATATAGAAAACAAATCTATAAAATAAATCAGAAAATTTAGTTAATTTTTTCAGTGTGCTGGTGCTTTTTTACAGTAAGAAATGACAACAAGAGTTCAAACTGACGAGGCAAAGTGACCCAAAAACATCATCAGCATTCTCCATGTCACCGATCACCGATTGATCCGGATTGATTCTGACTGAACGCCGCCAGGACGCTTCGCTGCAAAGTCCACGTTTCTGATAAACTTGTGTCTGCTGGGATTATAAACATCACTTCCTCTCACAGTAGGAGGGGATAAGCCTCTTAGAGATTAAAAGCAAATGTCCTTCCTTCTGTAAGAGCTGAGAAATATCTGCGATCAACGTGGCCCATTCATCCCATTGTTTTCACGGTTTTCAAGTGAGAGCCAAACGAGTGACATTTCAGCGTATAATAGGTCCCATCTAGTGCCAGTGTTTGGAATATGTGAGCCAGGAGTTCAGAAAAGGCTCAGAGGTGCCAGGGTCTGTAAAAGGAGCAATTGCTGCCTTACGTAACGCTGGCAAGCCCGCCGTATCGCCTCGGAGGGAGTTCACAGTTCTTCTCTCTTCATTTTCAACAAGTCTCTCGAGTGTAAGCAACAACAACACACGTATACAGCCAGCAAGCTTTATATGGGCACAGTCGGATCACGTCTCCTCTGGCGCCGGATTTGTTTACGTGATTTGTTTTACACCGGACAGACAAGGTGGAGGAGATGTCAAAAACGTAACGAGCATCAGGACGGATCGCTGTCTGCGGGGTCTTATGGGAGGCCAGGTACAGAAGGAACGGGGATAAAGTGCATTGTGCTGTTTGTTGTCAGCTGGTTTTGGTTAGCGGTTACACAACATACCACCCCGAAAAAACACTCAGTGTCCCCGGGCTGTGCTCTGCTGTACGACAGCAGTGAGTATACCCAGCGAGTAAATGTCGAATGGTTTAAAATTGTAAAAACCTCCTCTTGAAAAATAGATTATTTGCTCTTATTAACAATTAAAATAGCACTTATTTGGACAACAGAGTGGGAGCTCAGTGCCGCGATCACTGAAATTAAACTGAGCAGGATTTCAAAATTTGAGCTGTGAACAAGAGAACTTTCTCACTTCTGGATCTATGGACTGTGTCTGTCTTCATGTCTGCATCATGGCTCCACATGGAAAAGAACTGACCAGAGGAACAGAAACATCTGATTAAGAAGGCTTCACAAAGATTGAGAAGGATACAGGAAGAGCTGTGACCAAGCAAAAACCAATGAAACTCCATTGCAGCAGTAATCAGGAGGTACAGAAGGAGGCATAGCAGCACTAATGGTGGTCCTCCTAAAACGACTCCACAGACAGTGAACACTGTGTGTGACACTGCTTTCACAATCTAGTTGGGAAAAACAGACGGCAGCTGATGCTCCATGATGTCAGCCCTCATGGACGGTGCGTGATTGGTGAATGCACAGTCCTGACAGTGAAGCATGGAAGTGTGATCTGAGGATGCACGAGTGCAAAAGGTGTTGGAGAGATGAAACTTATAGATGCATGTATGAATGTCTGAGGATAAACGAAACACTGGCTGACAAGACGACTCCCAGCCTGCAGGGCATGTAAACATCAACCTCCATGGATGGTGTTCCATTAAATTAATGCCCTTCTTGCTCTTTAACAGATTTTCATCTTGTAGTTTTGTGCTGAAGAACATGAAAAGAAGCCTCATGAATGTTGGAAGCAAGTCTTTGGTCAGATGAGAACACGATGAATGTGTTGTGCTCAGATGGAGTCCAGCGGGTTTGGTGTTGACCTGACCAGGACCAGCACAGTGGATGCATCGTCCTGACAGTGAAGCATGGAAGTGGAAGTGTGATGATAGAAGGATGCATGAGGTGTTGAGGAGATGATATGTATAGATGCATGAATGGATGTCTGAGGATAAAAACCAACATACTGGCTGACAAGACGACTCCCAGTCTGCAGGACATATAAACAGTCCAGTAAAACCGCTGTGCTTGCTCTTTAGCAGATTTTCATCTGGTAGTTTTGTGCTGAAGAACATGAAAAGAAGCCTCATGAGTGTTGGTAGCAAGTTTTTGGTAAGATGAGAACAAGATGAATGTGTTGTGCTCAGATAGGTTTGGTGTCGACCTGACCAGGACCCCCACAGTGGATGCATGGTCCTGACAGTGAAGCACGGAGCTTGAAGTGTGATGATATGAGGATGCACGAGAGCAAAAAGGTGTTGGAGAGATGATATTTATAGATGCACCATGAAATATAAAGAGCTTCGCATTAGTTCAGACAGGCACAGGGTCAGGGTGTCACATGGCCCCTCCTGTCCAATCGTCATCGCTGAAGTCCAGCCCACCCACTTAGCTGCTTTATAACTGAGGCAGCGTTCATTCATTCTGCCCGCTTCACGCTCACCACATCGCTGCTACTCCTCCTCCCCAAACACCACCTTTTAAAAACAGTTCAATCTCATATAACTCCGGTGTTTCCCACATCGTGGGACTGGTTGCAGATGGTTCATTATTGTACCTTGAACTATGTACTCTAGATTCTGTAAGTGAAGACTATTTAGTTGGTCTCCTGTTCTCGTGTTCATACCGTATTTGTTAAATTGTAAATTCATGGCTCTGCGGGTGTGATCTGTGATCTCAGGGATGATCTGTGTCATGCTTGCTCAGATTGTTCCAGACGAGCAGAGTCACCGCCAAACTAAATGTATGTGATCCCAAATAAATGGTTAAAATCTGACAAAGTGTTCTGTCTGAACTGTTAATATATCAAAACACTGGCGGACTCCATGTCTGCAGAAACTTGAAGAAGAGGAATATCCCAGCAGGAGAACCATCCAAAACATAAAATCACACGAGAACAAAGTAAAAAGCTAAGACCTGGATAAAGTCGTCTCTGAGGAATGGCAGAGCATCTCCCTGGGAAGCTGATCTCCTTCATGCTGCTTAAAAAAAATACAAGATTTGATGTTGCTCGGGGATGCATTCACTTCTGTTGGATACGTGGGAATTAATAAAAGCTTCTGACCTCACGTCGGCGATGTGTTCATTTTTTGAAATTCCAGCAGGCCGCTGGAAGGTGTGACCTTGCATAAAAACCCTCAACACGTCGCCGCATTTCATCTGCATTTTCCTTCCTCTGCAGAATGAATTAAACCCATAAAAACAGTGCAGACGTGATGCAAATGTCTCAATCAGAGACACTTATAAAGTAGACGCAGGTAATCGACTTGGAGTGTAAAATGAGGCATTCTGTGTAAATGTGAAGCAGCCTTCTCGTACCTGGACCACAGCGCTGGAGCTGCTGGGTGGACGGTGGACATCTGAAGAGTTCAAACTGATTTTTAATGCAATCAGACTGTTCGGTCGTTAGCGTTCAGCATTAGCATATTGCAGATCAACATTTAAATACTCCTCAGCCAGCAATTTAAGACTCTTCTGTCACATTCCCGTCACTCCCCTGCCAACACGGTGCAACTCATCAGTCAGCGCGCTGACAGCAGCCTGTAGTTTTTACTAATCATCTCGGGTAATTAGTCTCACTGGGGAATTGCTAAGAATCTCACAGAAACGTGGAGGGAAATGAGTGAGTGAGGGTGAAGAGTGCATAGCTGGCATGTGGCTGCAGCCTGAAATCCCCTTTATAAATGATTCTTTTTGTTAAGTTTCATTTTAAAAAAAAAAGAAAAGAAAGCGTGCATATGGACTTAAGAGTGCATTTGGAATGGCTTCAGATGAAGATAAAGTCTGTGTGCACTTGAAAATGTGGAAGTTGCTCTGCAGAAAAGCACAAAAACCTCCAGAAGAGCTTCGTGTTTGTGTATTTATTAGTTCGTACATCAGGAATGGCTGAACAGATGTCATCAGGACATTTAAATGGCCTCACATTCTGTCTGTTCCACACACCTGAAGATAGTTTCTTGCTGTCGTCAGTGGAAGTCGGAGGAGGGAAGATATGAGAAGTTTATTCGCTGACGTGGACTGTGAAGGAGCGAGACAGCATTGAGATATGTCCCTGTAATACAGATGTATTAATCTTACAAGTACATCAACAGCGAACACAAACTGTTCTGTCAACACTGAGACACTCTGGAGAGCAGACGGCTCCTCTCAGAAGCCCTCAGACATTTATATGCACCTGTTGTGTGATGCTGGATGTTTTTTCTGCTAATGCACAAGTACATGAGATATTGGTCATTTTTACACGCTGAATATAAATTACATGACTTATTGCAAATACTTTATTGCCTCATTGTTTGCTGTTAGTATGTTCTCACACATCTGTAACTAGATTTTGTGCCTAAAGTTTCCCTCTGAATTGTGATCGATTTAATTTGTTTTGAGATCGGTCGTTTTCCGCTGCTGTTCTTTCTTCGTCATTTTCTCGAGATAGCGAGTTGATTTTCTCGTTATCTCGGGATAACAAGAATCGTTTTCTCGTGAAAACGAGATAATTTATCTCGAGAAAACCAACTTCGTTTTCTCGAGACAACGAGATAATTGGTGTTTGTGTTAAATCCATCATCTCAGGATGATTCTCAATCTGACATTTTCAGTCCGTTCTCGGCAAAGTCACTGCTGCACTCCAGAGCGTCACTCGTTTCTTTGTAAACACAGGCATCAGTATCCAGGGATAATTATCTCGTTATCTCGAGAAAACGAACGCTGTTTTCCCGAGATAACGGAATAATTATCTTGTTATCTCGAGAAAAAGCCGTTTAAAAAAATGTGCGGCCATGACCGCTCTCGGCTTCCGTAGTTTTGAGTTTTTTTGACAAGAATTTATAAAGAAAAGACTTTTTCATGTCAAAGTGAAAACTGATTTCCACAAAGTAATGTCAAATAATAAAAAATATATAATGTAAAATAAGTGCATGTTTGTACATGTATTTCTTTGTCTGTTCTTCACCAGTCAAAGCTTTAGGGGAGAGATAATAATAAATCTGGACTAGAGTCACCAGAAGACATGTGGAGACTCTGAAGCCACCTGGAAGAAGGTTCTTTGGTCTGATGGGACCAAAATTTTGCTTTTTGTCCATCAGACAAGACATTGTTCACCACCGTGACGTGAAGCACGGTGGTGGCAGCATCATGACGTGGGGATGATTTTTGGCAAGACGACTGTGACAGGGTTTGTTTTCCAACAAACAACCAAAGCTACACAGAAATGGTTCAAAGACAACAAGGTGAATGTTCTGGAGCTGCCCAGTCAGAGTGCAGACTGTAATATACAGTATAACATTCCATGCGGAAATATATATCACAAATATTTTATCATCTCATTGTACGTTTTAGTCTGTTTTATTCCTTCTGTAACTTAAAGTTGTGCCTGAATGTTTTACGTTTATTGTTAGATGTGACGTCTCGACTCTGATTGAGCCACTCTCTGATTCTTCCGTCACTCGTCCACCATGATCAGGTGTGTAAACATGCAACTTCTCCTCCTTTAAAACGTTGTAATCCAGACTTATTGGTGGCAGACGTTGTGCTGCGTGTTTATTCGGCTCCATTTTTCTTCATTCTCATCTAAATCTCTCAGCACTTCTGTTTTATTTATATGCATTTGTTTGTCTTGCTGCCTCCTTCCCCGCATCCCGCCGTGATAAATGGCTCGTATACTTCCGCCAGCATCCTCATGCGCCTCCCTTCTGCCGAGCCGCTTTAAACTTTGCATCGTTCAAAGCGTCCTGTCTCGAAAAATACCCGTCTTGTATTTTGATTGAGGAGGAGGAGGAGGTGTCTGACCCCAGCCTGATAAACAAACATCAGATGAAATGTGGCAGGTCCAGGAGAGCAGCGGAGACGCGAGATTGTTACGTGATGTTTGAGAGCTTCGGAGGAAAACAGGCTGTTCTAACCTGCCGGTGCCAGTCCCAGTGGTTGACCGCTGAGTCACGCTCCCTCTTGACACAAACAACAGCAAACATCCATCCGTCCGTCCACTTTCGACGCCCGGCCCCGCTTGTCCTCTGCAGGGTCACCCAGGGCTGCAAACTTCAACCTTGACAGTCCATCGTGAACCAACGTCCCACCCGGGGGCCATTTAGGATCACTTATTATCATAAAACACATAATCTGATGCTGTTTCCCAGTGCAATTAATTCATTAATGCTGATAAAGTCAAACAGAATGACCTCATCCGCGCCATTTTTTTTTTATTTTACTGTTTTCTGGAGCGTCCCTCATTCGGTTCGTTTGCTCGCAGACATTTTACTTTTTTATCAGCGGCTGATAAAATTTTAATTTATTTTATCAGGACAAACCCCTTGAGAGACACTATCTTGGTTCTGAGGGGGTCTCAAATCATACAGTCACGAGTACAAACAGAGAGCAGGGCCAGATACAACACGATACAACAAAAGAGCAGAAAACAATGAAACGAGCTCGACAACGACCTCAGGATAGAATCACACGCTGGAAAAAAAAAACACAATTTGCATTAAGAGTGAGTGAATCAAGAGAGAAAACAAAAAACAGGTGAATTATGACAAACAGAAGGATTACGACACATAAAAGCTTTTTTGTTTTCCTGAGAGAGAAAGAAGAGGAGCTGAGAATCGTACTGAGTAATCTCAATTATGAGGGATAAACAGAATGGATTATTAAATTAATGCATTTTTAAAAGTAAACCACTAAAAACACTGAAGTACGTTTGTGTGAAAACACTTCTCTGGTGTCTCGTCATAATGAAGTACATCTGTCTTTATTAATCCATTACAGACACCAAAACAAACAGAAATGTGCACAACAGACGTGGATTAAAGACGTTAAAATAAACCAGATAAATACATATTTCTTTTCTTATTTTTCTAAATTAAATAACAGGAAATATCTGTAAAATAATTATATTTTTGGCTGATTGAAACTTTACAGTCAAACCTTGTAAAAGAATGAATTACCATTAAAACTACTTTTTATGTGGATATTATTTAGAGTTTGTGCCAGGTTTTGTTTGTTTGTTTGTTTGTGTTTTTTAATATTTTATTTTATTTTTAAACATGTAAATTCTTCTTCTTTTTTTTTTTTTTACTAGTCATCCCCTGCAATTTACCAAAAACAGCAAATAACTACCAAATAAATTGTAATTTTTTATTAATTTTGTAAAAATTTTCTTTATTTATCTTCTGTCTACTGTTTTCAAGCCTAAGTATGCCTAATTATTCTTTAAAATATCTGTATAATACTGATATGTTTGACTGAATTAAATACAACTTTACACAATGTAGTTTTACAGTAAACATTGTAAAAGAACAAATTACTATTTTTAATGATGTTTTTTTTTGTTGTTAATGTGGATTTTACTTTTTTTTTTACTGTTAACGTGTAAATTATTCTTTTTTTTTTTCAATAATTTGTATAAATTGTTATTAAGCTAAATTAAAGAAAACTGAGATAACCTGCCTGCAAATTAACCGTAAATTGTTTAAACATTTGCATTTAAATCAGTAAAAACAACTCCTTTGTCTCCACAGTGCAGCTGTTAGACCATCATCTAGCTGCAGAATGTCTGTATGTGAACATACAGTCTGCTGCCTCCTCGTCTCCTATAGAAACCCAGCAGCAGTCAGGCCTGAGGTCTGCAGCAGCAGCGGTGAGGAGAGAAGCTGCCCGAGGCTCTGATGAACTCACTCTGTCATTTCCTGCTGCTGTCTGAACCCATGATGGCTTCACGTCCTTCAGTCTGCTGCTGAACACACACATGCAGAATCACAGATTGTGGGTTGAACTGTTTTGGTCACCAGCCTCCAGTTTGGAACAATAATCCACCTCCTCACCCGAACGCCTCACCGTCGTCGTGGTGAAGCTTCGTCTCCGTCTGCCAGGCCTCCAGGTGACTTCAGTCTGCATCCTGGACAGCCCGGACAGATCCCTGACGGACTCCTGACTGATGGAACTTAAGCATCAGACTGTCACTCTGTAAGACTTCATCCTGCCTCGCCTGCACAGGTTGAACTGCTCTGACGCCGTCGCTGAATAAACCGAAACACTTTTCCAGGCCGGGTGTTTTCGGATTAAAGAAGCAGTCACGCAGAAAGAGGTTTAAATAGCTGAAAATTAGCTGGTGTCCGGTTCAGAGATCATCTGCCTGAGTGCATTTTAAAAGAACGTGTTCTGGGAA